TCAACTAGACCTACTAACTACTGTAACTACTTTAATTTGAGAAAAAAATACATAATTTTAAACTCATGAGCATAATGCATGTCATTAGATTATGCAGGACAAGATGTGAAAGAACACAGTTGTTAATTGGTTGGTTACGTTACTTAGTTAGGATACATATTTTGCCTACTCTTTTTATCTCAGTGGAGAGGAAAGAAGGTCCAGCAGCAAAGTAAAGGAGTAAGGGTAGAAAGGCCAGTCAGTGTAGAGGGTTGAATATGGATTTCATGTCATTTCATTTCACGTCGTCTGGAGAATTAAAAGCTATGCGTGCACGCGGGTTATGTGTATGTGTGTAGCCAAGCCTCTTTTTTTCGGGGGATCGTCTGAGCGGATAGAGGGAGAGAGAGAGAGAGAGATTTCGGATAGCTAAAAGATGTTCGTGTCATCGGCGATGAGAAAAAAGGGGAGACTGGCTATCTGTACTGGAGCGGGGTGGGCGGGCGTAACAAGCATGCGGGGGGACGTTAAGAAACATAAAACTGCAGAGCGGGTAGATGGCGAGCAACTACTGTTGGTCTTCGTTTTCGTCCGGCTGGTCGAATAGGAAGTTGGCTGCCAGCTCTTCGTTCTTGTCGCAGGCAAAGTAAGCCTGGATGACGGAGTCGCGAGAGAAGCCCAGACGGCAGAGCTAGAAAGATAAAAGTTAGTTACATACGCATGGTATATCTATGCCGGGGTCTAGAAAAAAAAGGGGGTAGTATAATGCTTACTCTCTCAATCGCGTCTCTCTCCTCCTCCGTTACACTGATGGACTGAGCACCCGGTGGCAGCTGTGTTTCGTCATCGACGTCCTCACTGAGCAGCTGTAGGAACTGCTCCTGGTTCTGGCCGATCAATTGAGCGAGCTGAGGATTTCCGGCACCAACCTGCTGAAGGATGGGCTCGAGCATCTGCGGCTGCTGCTGGACAAGCTGTCGGAGCTGCTGGAAATGAGGGTTGTTGCGCAAGAACTCTAGGCTACCAAGGCTGCCTGCGGTTTCTTCTGCGCCTGCCCCGGCACCAGCACCGGCACCAGCACCACGACCACGAGCACCTCCGCCTCCGCTGGCTTGCGCGGCGGCTTGTTCAAAGAGATTTAGGGATTCCTGGACCTGCGCGTCAGACGGCTCTTCGGAGGCGGCGGAGGGTCTGGCGGCGCCTCCTGCTGCAGCGGGGGCACTAGGAGCTCTCTCGGATTCTTCAGGAATACCCTATGTAACCGTAAAGTTAGCAAAATAAACCACATACTACTTGGTCATAAAAAAACGTTAAGGAATGACATTTGACATACGTTTAGCAGATATTCAATGGCACGGTCTGGGTTGAAGTACGCAGCTCTCATGGCACGGTCGATATCGCCTCTCGAGAAACCCATGGCCAACATCTGTGTGATAGCTTCCTGGCCCTGGTTACCCATCAAAAGAGCAGATGGGTCGTTAAATGTGGCACCTGAGCTGGCACCTCCGGCAGGCGAAGGGGTAGCGGGAGTCTCTGAAGCGGGAGCATTTGCACGGGTAGGAGCTGAGGGAGTGGTGGGAGCGGGAGCGGATGGTGCAGCAGCCGGTGTCTGGGATGAGGAGGCCGCAGAAGCCGAGGGAGCGGCCTTTGGCTACATGGAGATGTCAGGCCACAAAAATCACACACATGTTTTGACTGAAAGAGCATACCTTGGACACCATGCATACTATGAAGCCCTTCTCCTCGATGTTATATGACTCGACTGTGTTGTCATCTTGTAGAATCTTGCCTGTAGGTGGTGTGGGGGATCAAGTCAGCTATCGGCAAGCATGCCGAGTGCCACGACTTCGGTGGCCACCACTTTCAGCGCAACATACCCGAGTATATGAGCTTCTGCTGCGATGCAGGCCATCCTTTCTCAGATGCGATCTTCTCCTTGACATCTAAGATCTATGGGTGGGCGGTTAGCAGGCGGTCTTCTCAAAGAGCGTTCGCTGTAGAAGCCTAGAGAGGCAAGTAGAGACAAAGATGGCGGGGAAAGCAACTGACCTTGTCGGAGGGCTCAGCATCTATCACAAACTTCTGCTGCTTCAGATCCTGTAGGCAGAAAAAAAGAAGAGGTTAGCTATAAGTTGACCTTTATATCCAGCCTGACAGCAGAAGGCCAGGTGGGTGTGGTGGTGGTGGTGTCGCGCACCCTGAAAGTGAGCTTCATCTTTGTGCCAGTCACCAGCCAAGCAGTAGAACGATCCGGCGGAACAAGCAAGCAGGAACAACAGCCTAGGTGGGCTGCAAGCAGTGTCTGCAGCGAGTAGTTGTTGCTTCTACAGCACTCAGCAGAGGTCGTAGAGGCAGAGCAGGGCGGTAATCACAGAGCAATAATCGCTGAACAGGCAGCAGTCGAGAAAGAAAAAGAAGAGAGAGAGAGAGAGAGTCAAAGGCGGGCAAAGCTGAGGCTGGCGAAGTTGACGTTGTTGACGTTAAAAAAGCAGCTTTTTTGCGGCCGCTTTTTTAGTTAGATGGCTGCTTTGGGACTAGCGCGGGCAAACAGTGCAAAAGATGAGTCAGAGATTAGTCATAGTGTAAAGTCACGTGGAGGACAGCCTCGGAAGGAAAAAAGAAGAAACAGTTAGTAGAGACAAGAGACAAGAGACAAGAGACAAGAGACAAGATAGCAGTTGATGGTGATGGTGATGTTTGTTAATGTAAAGATATGTCTATCCAGATGCCCCAATGCTTGCTCCCTATGCAAATGAACCAGCAATGCCATGCAACGCCTGTACTCCCGTACTCCCAAGCCCTTCTCGAGTCCTCCTGCTTGATAGCTGGAGATCCTCCCAGGGTCCTTCTATGGTCTTCCCCTGGGTGATTCGCTGCTGTGCTGTGGCTGCCAAATAACTACCTGACTGAATCCATTGGTTTTGAATGTGCTGTTCTCGTGGCCGTTTGTTCTGGCTATAGCGTGCATACGCCGTACAGCTCACACCGACACTGTGCCTCGGACGGACAGCTACATAACTACTGTTAGCTCAGCCACTAGACGGCAGGCAAGGACCCAAGGACAAGACTCACTGGATGGCCTCCTCCATGAAGATGATATGCCAGATCTGCTCAAATACCCATCCAACTCCGAAACTCGTATATCGGGCGTCCAAAGCCCACTCTCGCATCCTCACATAATCCTCCAGGGGCCGCTTCTGCACTCTCTCCCTCGTCACCGCAAACTGAGCACAGCACACTCCACCAATATGCTCGGGCACCTCGCTCCGGCTGACGTTGAACAGCTCCATGTATATTTCCGGCAGGTGGGCTCGTTCATTCTGCCCGCGTATGTCTATCTCAGTCGGGCTGAGCGGGTTGAGTGAGGTCGGACAGCCCGGCTCCCAGAGACAGCGCAGATTGGCGTATCCTTTCCGCTTGACTGCCTGGATCTGCAGGGCAGAGAGGATCTTGACTGTCTTGCGGCCCTTGAAGTCGTTGTGCCATTGCTTGTTGGCACTGTGGGTGAATGCTATCACCTCTGGCAGGGAGTGGTAGTAGTCTATGATGAAGGAGAGGTACACCATGGCTTCACGGCCTACATTCTTGGGTGTGCGCAGGGTATATCTTTCATCACCATCCACAGAGTAGACAAAGGGGTTCCATCTAGCCATTGTGTTAGCATGGCTGGTAATACAGACGCGTCAGACTGCTTGTACAGTAGCAACAGGGGGGTGCTTACTCTGGCTCCAGCTGCTTGACCCAGCCTACTCTGTCCCATTTGGTCTTGGGGAGGACCACAGCCTGGGGTATCCTGACGGCTTCTTGAAGTGCCGGCGGTGGAACAGGAGTGTAGTTGTCGTAGAAGTAGAAGAGATAGACCAGGGCCATGCCAGAGAAGAAGCAGAGCAGGAGGGCTGTCTTGCTCCGGACCAGCTGGAGCCGGCCACAGCTGAACCAGCCTGTAGTTAGAATAGTCATGCTATATTATCTCTATTTCACCAAGCTCTTTTTAGCTGCTGCTGCTGCTTGACTTGTTGGTTTTATATCAGGCAAAGGAAAATATTCTTCTGGTGGTGATAAAGAGAAGATTCATCTTGATGCGCGATAAAGAATTTCTCTTCTTCCAGCAATCCCCTTTTTCTTCTCTGCTGGACTTGACCTCTCTACTGACAAAGAACAGAAAGCAAGCCGATAGATGTACGACTTGAACCCGGCCGCCCTTAACGGCTTGTTTTATATGCACGAATTCTGCAGGCAGACATGGATAGCCGCAGCTATCTTCAAAACACCCCCAATCCGCCAGCAAGAGGCGCCGGGCAGCCACCTTATATAGCGCCCATCAGCCACGCTTCCTCGGCCCGCCGCGTCTCTCATTTGATAGTAATAAAAAGTACTTATTATTTCTTCTCCCTGAATTGAACCCATATTGGCCCCTCTCCGACCAGCTTGAAAACTGCCAATTAAATCGGGGGGAACAGGCTCAGGGGCTCGACCTCTGGCCCTTTTTGGCCGCTATCTGGGTCTCCCACAAGCACAAGCTTGAACAATCAGAGAATTCAAAAAACGGGGCAGCTGGATGGATCCAATGAGATGGGGATTTTTTTTTTATCTTCTGATTTTTCCTTTCGGTGGATCTGCAGGGCCAGGAAAATTGTGGAAAGGGGTCGGAGAGGCAAAATTTTGCTTTTTCTTGATTTTTATTTTAATTCCTTGGTAGGTTGGCGATGGGGATGGACGGATGGATGTGAGCTGGAAGGTGGTACGGTTGGACGTTGCTGATAGCTAACTGTGCCTATAGATCGATGCGTTTCAACTGTTGGATGGCCAGCGAGTGCCTGTCGATCTACCGATTCCTCAGGAGAGCTTTTGAAAAGTGACAAAATGTCAGTCAGACATGAATCAATTTTGGCGTGACAGGGAAGAGCTGGGAGGCGCTGAAACGCCCGCTTCTTAGCTTCCTCTTAGTTGATTCTTCATGCAAGAATCCGCGGACCATGGACGGTGACTCGGGAAGACGGTAATTGTGTGACGACAGATAGATTGAACATACAAATACGGAGTTAGCTCGTGAACATGGTGGTGATCCAGCCCTTTGCCGTGGAGCAGGTGCGATAATTCATCATAGCGACAGTATCTAACGTGCTGTGGAGTAGTTAACTGATAGTTAATCATCAGTGGATGGATGAGTACGAGACACGGGCCAGGTACAACATTGCAGAGACATGCTCGTCCCCTATCTCGCTCGACGACCTCTGTGCCTTTGCAGGAGACACCAGGCCAGCAGACTTGTTCAACGCCTCGCAGAAGCTGGGTTACGGTGTCATCCGTGGATCCGAGGAGTTGCGCTCCAACATCGCTCAGATACATGTCGGGAGTGGGGATGTGGCACCGGCATCAGATAATGTCCTGATCACTCCGGGGGCTATCAGCGCCAATTTCTTGCTGCTTTACACCTTGGTGCACGCCGGTGACCATGTTGTCTGTCACTACCCGACGTACCAGCAGCTTACTCTGTTCCGGAGTCTCTGGGTGCAGAAGTAACGCTTTGGAAGACTTCGGTAGAGAAAGACTGGGAGCTAAACGTAGATGAATTGAAGGACCTTATCAAACAAAACACCAAACTCATTATCCTCAAGTATGTTAACTACTCATTTGATCGTTGCTACTTCTATTCATAACTGACGGTGCTAACTAGTAATCCTCAAAACCCGACGGGGAAAACCATACCAACTGAAGATCTCCAGCAGATAATCAATGTCGCTAGAGAACGAAACATCTACGTCTTCTGTGATGAAGTGTACAGGCCTCTCTTCCACTCCCTTGATACCAATCAGCAACCTGCATCAGCATTCTCGCTGGGCTACGACAAGGCGATAGTTACTGGCTCTGCATTTAAGGCTTATGCCCTCGCTGGCATCAGAGTCGGTTGGATTATCGCCAGCAAGGATATAATCGAGCAATGCCTCCATGCCCGCGATTACACTACTATATCCGTCAGCCAGCTAGATGACAGGGTAGCTTCCTTTGCGCTTGGAGAGAAGTGCGTGTCAAAGTTACTTGCGCGAAACACCACTATTGCACGACACAATCTGAACATTCTCACCGCATTTGTCGAGGAGTTTTCGTCAGTATGTGATTGGTGTGAACCTCTTGCTGGCACTACGGCGTTCGTTAGGTTCTCAAAAAAACGGGGTGCCGGTTGATGATGTTAGGCTGTGCAAGTTGGTGTTTGATAGGTTTGGGGTCATGTTTGTTCCCGGAGGACATTGTTTTGGCCCGGAGTTTAAGGGGTTTGTGAGGATTGGATACGCGTGTGAGACGAAAGTTTTGGAAGAAGGGCTAGCACAGCTTAGGCTTTTCATGAAAGATGGATTTGATGACGTTTGACTTGGTATATGTACGTAGGTAGAAGATGTGTTGGATTTACATTCGAGCCTGTAGTTGTGTGCTTTGCAAGGGGAGTGCGAGTGTGGAATAGCGTGCATTGTTCGCATCAGTGAGTGGGAAATTAACTATTTGGTATATCAGGAGCAAGGCAGAAGTATACAAAAATTAAGAAAAAACATAAGTCCGGACCACAGAAGAGATATATCATCAACACTCTATATCATGACCGGAAGGGGAAGTTGAAGGGTAATAGTCTAAGCACCGACGCCAGACCATCTAGGGGCATTAATGATGATACCCATAAGGCAACCCGAGATGATACCAGCGACTGGCATGGTAATGAACCATCCAAGATAGATCCAGGCAATCATTCTCCAGTTGACGGCTTTCCAGGTCCCGGAGCAGAAACCAACGCCAACAGTAGCGCCGGTAATACACTGTGTAGTTGAGATGGGAAGGCCGAGTTGACTGGCCAGAATGACGGTGATGGCTGCACCAAGTTCCATGGAGAAACCACGGCTAGGAGAGTGCAGAGTAAGTCTGTTACCGAGCTGACGCATCATGTTATACCCGTAAGTCCAGAGACCAATACCTGGTTGACGTTGTTAGTTACATATGTAGTTAATTAAGTTGAGTTCAGGGGTTTGAGGTGAACTGGACTTACTGATAGCAGCACCACCAAATACAAGAATCCAAATTGGCACACTGGCCTTTTTGGCGATGGTGTTAGTGTCCCACACAAGGTAGATTGTGGTCAGTGGTCCAATGGCGTTAGAGACATCGTTGGATCCATGGGCGAACGAGGCAGTGGCAGCGGTCAGGACCTGGAGGAAGGAGTAGAGATGCTCAGTTTTGTTGTCGTAGTGCTTGACTTCAGCGTGCATCTTATCCAGGTCTCCGGCAAGGAAGTTGGTAGCGTCAGTGGCGTTCTGCTCGGAAACAACGTCCCGGTCGACACCACGGAGGAAGTAGTATTTGGCCTTAACGAAGAGGTTGCGGGGAGTATACCATGGACCCAGAGCTTCTTGCTCATGAGCTTCAAGGGTCTGTTCTCCATTCTTCTCGGCGGGTGAGGCCTCGCTGGAGCCACGCTTGATGCCATCCTCAGAGCTCTGTGCGTCGGTCTGAGGAGCGGCAGCGTGTTCAATATCATCGGCAGCTCCACGGGCAGTAGTGAGATCAGCCTTGGTCTTGTGGCCTCTGTAGTAGTCCTGGACAATGGCAGTGCCCTCTGGACGGGGTGGAACGGGCCCACGCTTCCAAAGGAGAGGACCGTAGATAATCTCCCACGTCTTCAACTGCCAATCTTCAAGTTCGAGCTTACGGTAAAGGAATGGCAGGAAGAAAATGCCATATAACAGTACGACACCGCCGGCAACACCGAAGATGGCGCCAAGGACCTGTCCGGTGCTCAATTCGTCGAGATTCAAACTTGGAGCTGTCAGGAAATAGCGATTAGCATATATATTTAACAAAAATGGGGTTGGAGATGATCTGACTAACCTCCCTTGAAGACGATGACCATAGTCAAGATACCAGCAGTAACGGCAAAGTAGAAGGGAACCATCATGAAACCGGCACGTAGAGGACGCTTGCGCTCAAGGACACCGTATTTGGTTATCAGGAAGACGATGATAGCAAAACCTCCGGCAATAGCTGGGGCAATGAACCAGGCACTGACAATACCGGCAACGCCCTTGCCATCATTGTAGGCCCATTGCACACCATCTTTACCCAGAGTCGCAATACCAACACCAATGATAGCACCGACAATGGAGTGGCTACGTCGATATTACTAAATATCATAGCAAAAGGGAGTCATGAAAGCTCGCTTACGTTGTTGAGACGGGCATACCCATCTTAGTAGCAAAGGTCAACCACATAGAGGATCCGACTAGGGCGCACATCATTCCCAGCATAAGAGCAGCTGGCTCCTTGGTGAACTTGGAGGTCGAGATGATCCCGTTACGGATGGTATCTGACACTCGGGATCTTCTCTCCAGTTAGCGATGCGGATTTTATAGAAAGTAGATCAACAAGCTCCTTTGCACTCACCCTACGAGAACGGCACCACCAAATTCCATGACTGTTGCAATCATCATAGCCTGCATCATGGTCAACGACCGCGACGAGACGGAGGTCGCGAACGAGTTGGCAACATCATTAGCACCAATGTTCCAGGCATCGAGGAAAGCAAAGATAATGCCGATGGCAAAGATGTAGTCAAACTGGTGAAGAACCATGGCTGCGGCAGCTTTTTCTGTCTCGATCTGCTGGGGAGGAAGGTTGACGGCGCACGATGATTTCCTTTCGAGATTTGACAGGCAAGAAGATATATCGGACCCCGTATATAGGAATCGGCTTAATATATGCGAGAATTCTATATATATAGATACGACCGGGGGGGAACGAAAACCCGCATAGACCAGCCTTGAGTTTGCCTCGTTAACCGCCAGCCTGGACCGCAAGGGGAGGCCATAAGGGCCAACAAAGCAAAAAGATGCCAGAAAGGCGCCAGAAAGGCCCAGAGACGACGACAAGACCGAAAAGGAAGGTATTCCGCCTATCTATAGAAGTAACACGTGCTAGCGCAAGCTCCTTGGCCCGCCAAGCGCGCGGAGCCAAGAGACGCGCCAAGCGAGCGGAAGGAGGCGGGAGGAACTTGGCGGGGAGTGACCAAGCGGGGGACGGGGCCACAGGCGTGAAGCGCAGGCCACACGTGGGCGGCTCCTGGCCCTGTCCGCTCGCTCGACGGCCGTGTATTCTCGGCCACCCATTCGCCCTCTTTTCCCTGACTTGTTTTGCCTCTTCCTTGCCCTCTCGTTTGCGCGTCTTGTCGTGCGTTCTTGGAGGGCGTGGCGAGTTCGTGCGCTCGCTTGTGGTGTCATCTCAAGGCATACTCTTTGTCTAGCCAGAGGCAACACCCAGTCTCATGATATTTTTACCGCTTGAATTCCCGCTTTTTGATTGGTTCCGTAGGGTATCATGTTAGAACTGGTCCTGACTCGCAGATGGGATGATATTAAGAGACAAGTAACTCCTAGAAAAGAGAAAACAGGTTAAGGTTTGATATATATGATTACATAATATTTCCATTGAAGTACATTTACGGATATATAATATCACTAACTCCGGAATAAAGTTCTCTAGTAGGTTCCAAGTTTATATAAGCGAACCTAATCTTTAAATTGAAGGGAGCTGAGTCTAGGCACCAACCCATCAAGCTCGCTACAGTTTCAACACCCTTCAACATCTTCATTGCTTTGAACCTTCAATGATACCTATCAGGAGGAAAGATTGCGTTGGCAGTGGCGCTAAAGCAAATGTCCACAAAGCCAACGAAACTATTGTTGTCAAAGTTCCTAATTCCAGCACCATCGCTGAGGGAAACAGTCCCTTTTCACAAGAAGCTAAATTTTACAACTGTGTGCTCGGAGAGAAAGAGAGATGCCCAGATATTGTCGAATGCTTCATTGCATCACCAGACTTCATTTTCCTATCATACTGCTGCAATAGTACTCTCGCACACCGCTTCTTCGAATATCAAGAACGGGAGATACGTCCAAACGGTCGTCCAGGAAAACTCATAGGTGTGAAGGAATATGAGGACCCTGCGCTTATTGCCCGATGGATACAACAACTCACTTCCGCGCTTGCTTTCATGGAGAAGTTGGGATATACTCATAACGACCTACATCCACGCAACTGCCTTCTTGATGAGAACCTTAACCTGAAATTGTCTGACTTTGACCAGGCTACTACTATCGGGCAATTTCTTGAGAGCCTGATGGAGCCATGGGCTATTAAGCTTACATCTGGCCCTCTAAGGAATACCTATGGCCTTACGTCAGCTCGCACTGAACAATTTGCTGTTGGCACCTTCCTTTTCACAATGGTATATGGCCACGAACCATATGAGGATATCCACCTTGAAGAAGACCCGATAGAACTGAGACGGCGTTTTAGAGCTTTCGATTTTCCAGAGCTCAACAGACATGAGGTTTTTGACGAGTTCATCTCTGCTTGTTGGCATAATGTATATCCAAATATGGCACTGGTCGCTTATGATATCAAACGCAAGACTAAGGATATTGCTTCGCCTCCAAGAAACAAGGCTGTCGACCACCTAAAAGAGAAAAATGCTTGTATAGCCTTGATCCAAGGTGGCTTACTTGGACCCGAGCAGGCTTTGTCATATCAACCATCCTGGCAAAGATACCTACATGCCGTTATTGGGAGATTTCTCTACTTTTGGAAACGTTCATTTAATCTTTTAGGAACACTTTTCTGTAGATAGCTTTGGTTTTAGACATCTACATAAGCCCCTCTTTTTTGACTATAATAAGCCCCTGCTGAAAATGATATTCTCTCCTACTGCCTCTTTGACTAATCCCTTCTCCTGCCATATGTATAACAATTATACCCAAAGTTATTGATTTGGCACATATATAGGAACTGAGTGGAGATTCATTGACTATAATAAGGCTATCTTGACTAGGCCATCTCATAAATATTTATTGCAAGCTGTTTGGGATGGTGACGTTCATGAGAAGAAAGGTTTTTGCCGTTGCATTCGTGCCGGTCATGAAATTCAACCAAATTCAACCGAATTTATATCCTAGGGAAAGTCAGATGTGGTCCTGGAAACACTTCATTGAGTCCAACTTACAAGGGAACTTATACCCTGGTGACAATTGAAATGGCCCGCCCGGCTCTTTTTCATACCATTTACCATTCTTTCCTTGGGCCCACAAGTCTTTCGCGAGGCAATCGTCACATGGCGAATGGACATGCGAACTACCGATATCATTATTTT